CCTCTGGGACCAGAAACACCTTTTGGTACCAGAAACACCTCTGGGACGTGTCTTTAAGCTGAACTTCCTCATGGCACTCATCAACATTAGTTCTCACTCAGTGAAGCTTTTTTCAGATTAAAAATACCTTTGAGGAAATGTATTTTCAGATGCCAATAAAGACTGGCAGGTAAACTGCATCATAGCGCATGCACCCCCCCCCCCAATGGGTGGGACAGAAGCGAAAGGTGGTTCTTAAAGAGACAGAGGCCAATTTCAAGGCGTTTAGAAGAAAGTGAAGGAAGTGATGAGAAGATAAGTTTATTTTCTATTTAAACATAAAACAGCATTTTAATAATAGATAAATGTGACACATCAAAAATAAAAAATCAGTAGTTCCTCTGGATGGTTCTTCTTTAGTGAAACATTTCATCTCTCCTCCAAGAGACTTCTTCAGTCTGAGAGTTTCAGGTGAACTCAGCCTTATAAGCTCTGCCTCCACATGGTGGACAAACAGGTCAGTCACATGCAAAAGAGGACCATCGACTAACAATATGCTTGATTAGCTCTATTGTTCATAGAGGGTCATGTGCCCCATCACCTGACTTATTGGTTTGGATGCTTCAGCTGTGATTATTTGGCGTTTTTGAAAAAAAAAAACTTGCAGCAGGGATTCAAGTTGAGACGGTGCGTGGTTGAAAAAATCATGCAATCTGGAGGCAGAGGTTGATAGCTTGTCTCATCCTGTATTCGAACAGAAAATAGTGTTTATTTATTTATTTACCGTTATTTAACCAGGCAAGTCCCATTGAGATCTCAGATCTCTTTTTCAAGGGAGGCCTGGGCCTGAAGGCAACCTATTGTACATGTTTTTAGGGAAATGAGGAAATTCAGTGATTTTGAATGGGAAATATGTTAAAAATTGTTTAAGATAAATCCATAATGTGTTTATAATACGAAGCATTGTATAAATGCCAATAAGAGACTACTCACTTCATAAATGAATACAGTAAACATTTCAGAATAAAAATAATTTTTCCAGTCATCTAATGTGTRATATTGCAGATTTTATGTTTCTGAACATTTTACACCTGACTTTCCTCTTTCTTGTCTCTAACAATATTAATGGTCTTTTTACTTCTCCAGCTGCCATTGAGGCCTGTCTGACTCACCTCCTGAAGAGACGGGCTGCTGGATTTCTTCGCAGTGATAAGATAGCTGCCCTCTTCACCAAGGTTGGCAAAGTGTTTGACACTGCTGGTGAAATCTGTCAAAAAGTACAAAAGCAGCTCCAGCAGCAGTCAGATGTCATCAGGTTGGTCTCATTTCATGACCTTTTTCTGGGGTTTGTGTTAGTTCCAATACAACACTGAATGACTGACAATTAGACAAAGATCAGGAACCTTTTTTTCCCATTTCCATTTCAGCAAAACACTCCTGATCCAACTTTTAAGACTAGTTGAAAAATGACAAGAATTCACATTTTGCACTGTTGGAAGAAAAGAAGGTTCTAAGTAGAGTTTTGAAATGCAAAAAGAAGAAATGGGAGTGAGCAGAAAAAACATCTGARTAAGCATTTTAATACAAACAAGTATTAAACTGAAACAGGCTGTTTATCAGCTGATCWAAAGTTTAAGACCACWGGACTCAGTAACGAGTAGCTGCTTGAAGAGTTTCAACAGGTGCTCACCTAAAATGATCTTCCAACAGTCTTGAAGGAGTTCCCAGAGATGGTTAGCACTTGTTGGTTCTTTTGCCTTCACTCAAGAGAATACCAAGAGTGTGTGAAGCAGTAATAAAAGCAAAAGGTGGTTACTTAGAAAAACCTAAAATATAAGACATATTTTCAGTTATTTCACACTTTTTTGTTCAGTATACAATTCCACGTGTGTTAATTCATAGTTTTGATGCCTTCAGTGTAAATCTACAGTTTTCGTAGTCATGAAAATAAAGAAAACTGTTTGAATGAGAAGTTGTGTCCAAACTTTTGGTCTGTACTGTATGTATATATAAAACTTGTGTTGAAATACAGTTTTAATACTTTTAGTTTATTATGTTATTTATTATATTGTAAGTTTTATCTACTTACCAGGACTCCTTTGTAAAAGAGGTTTTAAATCTCAATGAAAATTTCCCTACTAAAATAAAAGTTAAAAAGTTTAAAAAACTATAGATACCAGGTTTGGTATGAGTATGCTGATAATCAATTCGATTCAATTCAGTTCAGTTTATTTCTACAGCTCCAAGTCCCAACACACGTTGTC